AATCATATCACAATATCCATTAGGTACTTATAACGCGTTATACATAAAAAAAAAACCGTGATACAAGTAGAAGTTTCAAGTAGGTACCCACGAATAATATTATTCAATCACAACAAAATAACTAAAATAGTTATTCTAGGTTTTTTAATATGTAATTTCGTCCAAATTTGAATTTAAAATGTCTGTAAAAAATAACTGTGTTCATATATTTTTTAGATTTTTTGGTTACAGTATGAACTATTTATGAGAACCTTTATTTTGAATTTGCAATCCTTAGCTTTTATAATTTATTAATTACAATGATTGATAATTTTCGAGATTTTGATAAATTTTGTCAAAATTCGATCTTTGAATGTTTATAAAAAAAAACTGTGGCTATGTATTTTAAATATTTTTCAACTTATATTGTAAAAATATATCAGGAGCCTTGTATTAAATTTTTACACTTTTTGGCCCAACAGATAAAATTTTATTGATATTCATAGAAAAAAAAACTATTGAAAAATTAAAATGTCCGTTAACAGCTCAAAAAGAGTCAAAATATTTTCAAAATTGTATGGTGTATAGGAAATGCTAATATAAACATTCAGTGAAATTGTCATGTATCTGCAGTTATTCGTTTTTGAATTACAACAAAATAAGGAAATCGCTACATGAGAAATCGAGTGAATATCCAATGTTGGAAAAATTAGTATTTCAAACGCTCATAAAAATTTAATTTGACTTTCTTATAGACATTTTTTTTTTTGATAAAGGTAGAGAATCTTATAAGGAATCTTGTATTACATTTTAAAATCTTAGATTTAAAAAGAAAAATTTTTACGAATTCTTAACTCAAAATAATTTGCTAATTTTCGTGGGTTTTCCATATTTTGTCAATTTTTGAACTTTGAATGCTTATAAAAAAAAAAACTGTGACTAACGATTTTTAATATTTTTCATCTGCCTTTTAAACAATGTACTAGGAGCCTTCTATCAAATATTCAAGTTTTTTTAACCAACAAATAAAATTTTATTGATATTTCTAGAAAAAAAACTAAAAAAAAATGAAAAATGAAAATGTCCCTAAACAGTTCAAAATATTTTGAAAATGTTATCGTGTATAGAAAATGCAAATATAAACAACCAGTGAAAATTTCATGTATCTACGGTCATTTGTTTTAAAGTTACACCAAAAACCAAATTCAATTTTCTGAAAAATCGATTTTGCGTAAAAATTCCCGTTTTTCCTTAATTTTTCTTTTGTTGTTCTTGGCGCTTTTGAAAAGTACTTGGAATTTTAAATTTTGACCTCCCCAATGCACCAACGATATTCACTTTCCAATCGAACAAGAATAGATACTGAAGTCGAAAATCGAAACATTATTTCGACTACTTATCCTGTACACAGACACAAAAATAAAAAAATGAAAAAAAAATAAAAACACACATCATTGTAAAATCAATACATTTATCGTTACACTCAGAATCTAAAATCATTATAATAATATATTATTTTTATTTATCATATAGGTATGTTGTTGAATATATAAATTATACCTGACTTTTTTAGGAGACATTACGAGGATTACGAGACATTTAAGTGTAGGTACCATTGTATCATATTTCTTATCAATTATCATATCTCATTTATTATCATCTATCATAATATAATTTACTATTGTCTCGAATTAAAAATCAATTTTTAAAGTTAAACAATATAAATAATTAGTAATACACAACATTAATAAAAAAAATATTATTAGTAAAACACTTTAATTCATTATATTACATGTACAAAGAATAAAAAATAAATATATTAATGTAACTTAAAAAAAACTATTAAAATTTAAGTCATTCTAAGTACTAAGTAGGTATTATCCATAATATGAGGTGGCAAAATGTGAACCAATATCTTGAACAAAAAGAGACTCCTCATTGCCATTTAAGTAAAGTATTATTCACCATCTTACGCTTAATGTTGACTTATTTGATCGCTATTCCTCAGGTAATTTTAAAATATTTTTTTTTGGTTCATCGTTTTTTATTTAATTAAATAGGAACATTGTTTTTTCTGTTTATACAATACTTATAATTTGAATCTAATGGTAAATATATTTTTTTCACCTATTAACTATATAATTTACCCGTCAGCGAAACAAACATGTTGTAAAATTGTTATGTTTTGTTTGTAAAACTTTTAATGAATGGTGTAGTAATTTGCTACACATTCATTATTTTTTACAATTTTTATTGTTTTCCAAATGGGTTAGTGCAATTTATTAGTTACTGTGTCAATATCTTGATCTTCGGTCATTAATTTTCACAGCATAGATATGCTTACACATATAGGTAACTAACAATATATTATATAACTACACTAACTAAAAATATCCTTAAATCAAACTTAAAATTATCAATGATATTATTTTTTTTAGTTTTTAATAGTTATAATTCATTCATAGAAAAGAGTCACATACTCATAAATAATTAGATGTAAACATTCACATCAAAACATTAAAAAAAACTTTTTTGAAGATAGATCTTTTGTCAAAGATTATATTATCTTTTCTTATAAATCTATTAATTAATTTTTGAATATTTCAAAGATTATTTTACCTATATGATATACTTATGTAGTAATGTTTTATGTGAGTATAGTCTTGTGTTTTATTTGTAAAATAGTCAACATTAATATTTTGTTATTTGTATATAATTAAATAATTTATTAAATATTATTTTTTCTACATTAGTAATTATTTCTATACAATCTATTAATTTTGGTTTTGTAATATTTCTAATAACACTTAAACTGATGTGATTTATTTGATAATTATTGTTTCCAATTGCTTAGAGTAGTGGTAGGCTAATTAATTAAAGCTTAAAAAATGGTCAAAAATATTGCTATATTCACTATCTAATTTGGATAGTTGTAAAATGTAATAACTCGGTTTTTGTTATATTCCATAAAGAAATTTATAATAGAAAATTAATTTGTAAAAATGGCCTGTAAATTGATTATTATTTACCCAATTAGTATAATAAGATTCATTTTACAGATTTTTAATATATTTCTGAAAATACTTATCTGGTGTATTTGGGTATTTTTGTTTTCAGTTTTAAGTCTTCTACTTATTTTTTAATATTAATATACTTATACATTTTAATGCAACCAATTGAATGTAGTTTCTAAAATATCTGTGTAATGGCATATCAATAAAATTTACTTTTTTATATTATTAAATACTCAATTAATTCTGAATTTGTGGTTTCACACAAAATAATTGTATTCTTATAGTTGTGATATATAATAAATATGAATGATTCGTTTTTTTTACTTTATTTACTTTATTGATTATTTATTTTTATAGATAGTGTTAAATAGTATGCGTTCCTACAACATTTTTGACGTTTTCACACATTTTTGTGGAGAATATGTATCTGAGCAGCCACTGGGGAAATAAACTCAGGTAACTATAGTTCAGTTTACTTGTAATGCATTTTTATAAACAATAATCATTAGTTCTAGGATGATTCTAAGAGTGGCCAAAATTAAGTTTCTGGTGAGTTGTTCAACCGTTTCAACAGTGCTAGAAATAAAAACTTGCTTTTGTCTGGGACCTAACTCCAAGTAAAAGCATTAGAAGTAGCTCATGAAATCGAGTTTGGTAGTTTCAAAGCTTCCAACCGCTGGTTAGAGGGCTTCAAGGAACGACATTCAATAGTTTTTCCAATCTCAATTTAAATATTACAGATAATAATTTAATATCAGTTTGTATGACAGACTGTACTTGTACTAAAAAAACCTTGAGCCCTAAATAATATATTAATATATTATACTATGGGGTGATTTGGAATCTGCCAGTGTAGCTAAAGGCAATATTTTTGAATACTTAGATTTTGCACTACATTTAAGTATATTGTGGAGATAGGTAACAAAGTTGTAATGGAAATTGTAAATCAGATTATTTTTCTGAAAATGTTATGTAATCAAAATTAGAATGAGAAGTTTCTGTCTTATTCTACATTAAATTAATAGTTTTTAAAAGAGTATTATTTTTTTGAAATATTTGTGGCATTGCGACAGCCCTCAAGATACTTCTTCATTGTTGTGAAGAATTTATGTAGTAGAAAATATCATCATTAATATTTCAAAATTATAATACAAATACATAATATGATTATATGAATAATTTCAACATAAAAATGGGTTGAGCATGGTTAAAAACCCCCCTTGTATATACTTAAGTTCAATGACTTCAGTAAACATAAATATAACACTGATGGAAATATCTTTCATTAGCTATAAGTTTTTTAAATCTGTTGGCAGTTCAATGACTTCAGTCAACATAAAGATAACACTGATGGCAATTTAACCATGTACTTAGTATTATCTTTATATGTATTTAACTACTAACTTGATTAACTTGCTGTATTTAATAATTTAATTTATCCATTCAAGAAGTAATTGAAATTGGTGTGTCTGATGGTACTGTTAAAAAAAATATCATAAAACAAACTATGTAAAAAATATTTATTTTTTCTCGCAGATAATGTTCTGTTTTAGTCAGTGGGCAAAATGCCTAATTCATACTCATTAATACCAGGTGTTCATCATCATGAACACATTATTAAAGATAACCTGGGGATTCTTTACTTTAAAAGTAAAAGAACAGAGGAAAAAATTTAATAAAACCTTTTAGAAACTTTTATAAATACTTTTTTGTGTAATCATTTGAAATGCTGAGTTATTAATAAATTATCAAACACTAATATAATAGTTACAGTTTAAATTTAAATTATCTAGTATGAAAATTATTTAATATACTTACTTAAATTTAGTGAGAATACTACAAGTAGATGCCAAGCAACTGGATCAATTTCTTCTCATGAAGATAATAAACATTTTCAAGTGTGGAGATTACGTGACTATCGAATACTGAAATGAGAGATCTCCAAAGTTCAATTGGACATAATTGTGTTCAACAAATTGCCCGGTCATATTCAGCACGATCTGTGTCATGGAAGCAATTGTTAGGTAGCTTTAAAAATAATATTTACTTTAAAAATAACCATCAATTACCTATACAAAATATGGATGTTTAATTTATCAGCTATACTGAAGGAGCTGACAATTACACGTTTTATCAAGTAGCCAAAAGGATGCGACAAATAAGAAAATTGGTACTCCCTCCAACATTTTATTACAATAATAAACATTTCACTATGTCGTTTCAAAAAAGGCAAGTTTGTATGTATTTTAACAACAATACAATTATACTTCAATAAGGATGTAGATAATTGATACCTAATTAGTACATATTACATAATTAATAATAAGTGTATTAAATTTTTTTTGATACAAAATAATAATTTAATCACAGTCTCAATTTCCTTTTGTGTTATAACATATGCTTTTTATTAATAATTGTAGATACCTACTAACTTCAATATTTTATGTGTTACCTAAGATTTTATCAAGGCCCACTCATAGTTGATGGTTCATTTGTCGGTGTACTGTTCTCCAATAAACACTATATTGATTCGATTACAAACGAATTACAGAATGTAAGTCATCTAGTCTGGTTGAAGAAATAATCGAAAACTTTCTAACCAATTCATTTTTAGATTACAATATCTGGGTGTGACGAAACATTTAAGACGGTTCCCAAAACATTAGATGACGACTGTTATAAATTGTTTATGTTTCAAGTGATACATAGAAATGTTGTAAGTAAATTGTATTTAAGTTTCAAGCAATAAATCTTGTTTTGAACATATATTTAAACAGTATCTACTTAAAATCGATCTAACTAACAAACAAAATTATTTATGGTTTTAGAGTTTTCCAGTGGTATATGCAATATTTACCGGTAAAACGGAAGAAATATATGTAGGGTTATTCAAATATGTCTGTTTTATGGTTCATTAAACCTCACTCCAAAATATGGGATTGATGCATATAATGTAATGTATAAAAAAATGTTGTGTTTAGTTTTGTAAGGTTTTAGGTACGGCAGTTATATTATGTTAATTATGTAGGAATATATATTACCATTAATATTATATATGTGGGAAAGCATTTGTTTTAGTGGCCTCAAGATCTGTGATACAATGTGCCAACCAGTGCCGCAACAACCGGGTGTGCTATTCAAGCAAAGAACCCTTTAAATCATAACAATGGGCCCTGGGGCCAGTGGCCGAACTATTTGGAACTTTTTTTCTTTAAAAAAAATTAATTTGTTGTTTAAAAATAGAAGGTTTATTATTGATAATAATATGATATATAATATTATTGATAAATCCCAATTTCCCATAAAATAATCACTTTAATCACAACCAGCCGAACTGTCTTAGGTTTAGCATCTACGCTGCGTACACCGTGAACAATATAATATTAGGATTATATAAATAATATTAATAGATTAATTGTATTTCTAATTTACCATCAATAAGCATGTTTTTTTTTTTTTAATAATTATTAAAAAAAACCATGAGCAATGAGCTCAAAAGTTAAAACCTTTGCCTGCATAATTTTTTTTCTCTACCAGTAACTGTTGCATCGGCAGAACTCTCTTTTTCTAAACTTAAGTTAATACAAAATTATGTATGAAATTCAATTTCTCAAGAACGTCTTACAATTATAAGAATTTTAAACATTGAAAAAGCACGAACCGATGAATTGAATATTGATCACATAATTGATACTTTTTCAAATCAAAAAGCAAGTAAAAAAAACTTTTTAAAATAGACATAAACATTGTATTAAAAATGATGTATTTTTAATGAAATCAATTTTATTATTTATATAAATTATAAATTATATATTATGTGTTAATATATTAACTATCATTAAGACAGTGTTTAATATATTTTTATTAATAAGGTGTTTCACAAAGTGGTATCTTTCTATCTAATTATTATTTTTTAATATTTATTATAATATAAAACAAAGTCCTAACTATAATTATAACAAAATAATAATTTTGAATGGCAGGGGGGTTGAATTATACCGTCAATATCATATTCTTAAATTTCGGCTTTACTTGTTTAAATTATTACTATAATCATTATTTTTTTAAAACTATTTGTTGTTAATTAATAATTTCTACTGTACTATATAATTATTCTTTTGTAGACAGAAGAGTTTAAGTTAGGATCAATAATAACTTGAATGAGTTCGATTTATTAAATATATTAATTCATAAACAATAGCGCATTTCTTATTTCTGCAATAAACTTAAGTAACAGTCTAAAAGAACAATTATACGCACATGACTGAAAGCATGGTTTGCACACATTACATAATCATAACTAGTAACGACAGAGGTACACACAACAACGATCGGCAAAGAATGAACTAACTAGTAAATGAGTTTAATAGTGGTAATAATAATAATAATAATAATAATATTGGCTGGTGTCGTGCCCAGTCGACTGGACAACTGAGGGCAGCGACACTAGCGACTATGATTACTACACTTTATTTAGCTGTTTACTAATTAACATTGGTACTTCTAATTTTTACTTCTTTTTTGTATCCAAAATCTATTATACGATTTGCTGAACTGTACTTATAATTATTCGAATTGCTAAAGGGTTTAATACTCGTTTATTATACATAAATAAATTAACAAATAAATAAATAAATTATAATGAATCACTGATGTTTATACATCAGCGTAATGAACTAAATTAATTGCTATTACTTAATTAATTTTGAAAATTCATTGTTATTTAAATTACATTTTAAAATAAAGAATAATATGTGTTCAACAATTAGTGTCTTCTTTGAGTTTTAAATAAACAGTTTAATAAATAATTTCATATTGTTGATTGTCATTATACTTAGTTAATGTGTTGTCGTATTGAAAAAATTTAGTAAACTCTAGTAATTTTAATAAAAATAAAAAGGAAATTTAGTTGTAATGAAGTTACATGAATAGTAAAGTAACTTGGCAATATAAAAAAGAATAATGCATTTTGAAAACAAAATACATTTTTATGACAAAGAGTTCCATGAATATTTATTTAATCAGTGTAGACCATATACTGTACGTATAAGGGTTGATCAGTTAGACTTAAACTTAGAACTTTAAATGCATAAAGTATTAGCTTAATAGTTGCATATTCTGGTTATACTAACGCTAAGCATATTGTCACACCGCTTCTTAACTCTTAAGCAGGGACAGAAATACATATTAAATTTATCATGTTGTAATTAAAAAAAATGAACGCTTAGGGATTGTGGCTCAAAGGTGGGAAAGTTAATGTACAATATCTGTAACTATTTTACTTTACTTGATTATTAAATATTTAAACTATACCAAAACATCCCAATTAATAATTTACAAATATTATTTTTTTTATATAAAATAGCAAAATAACAGAAATGTTTGTGTTATTTTAGTATTGAATTATTTTTATTTTAATTGTAATATTAATATTTAAGTATAAAATCTTAAAAATCAAAAATTTCAAAAATGTTTAACTTTTGGATTATTTTTAAATAAACTGAGGAAAGTTAAGTTATTTCAACTGTCAATTATTAAACTAGTTAAGTTAAAAAGTTGATTAGAAAATTAACTAACTAGTTTACTAGTTAAGTTAATAAGTTAAAAATTTATAACTTTTTAACTAGTTAATGCCCACCTTTGGGAATTGAACATTTCATAAATTACAAATCATTTAATACTTATAGTACCTATATACTTTTTGAAGTTTAAATGGAATTTAAATAATTGTCTTAAAATATTTTCTAACTATGGTGTAAAACGTGTGGAAATGTCTAGTACATTTTAAGTTTTCTTCAGAATCTAATATTTGAAAGCGCTGATATATTTTGTTATATATATTATTGTTATTTTAAATTTATAAATAAATTGCTTATATCATCTTATGAGTGAAGCAGCAAATAGCAATTAACATATTTCTATTACAATAATGTCTTTTTTTTCTGAAACATTTTAATTAAATTTAAAATTGTCAATATTTAAAGATATAAAGGACTTGTGAATTTAAATCATGAATGTAAGAATTTTGTTTTGCCCTCCAAAATTTATTTGTATTATATTATACTAGTATTTATAATCAATGATAATATGGGCTATTATAGTAAGACATCGGGATCTTTTAATTAAATATTAAAAACATGTGGTAATACGGCAAGAATACCCAATAAAATTATACAATCTTTCACAGATATTAGGATCCACCTGAATATTTTATAAAATAGTTTTATACATATTATGTATGTTATCTGTATTAATAAAGCTTAGGTTAGGTTATCCGGTTTCCCGGATAATAGCAATTATAAATAGTATTGAATGAACAGGGAAGGTACATTATCAATGACCTTTACAATATAAGGTATAAGCTATAATAAAATATTACCTATCTTATATGTTTCTACATTTAATACACACTAATAGACTACAAAATTGTACAACAATTGCATGTTCATATTATGGTCATTCCTTACTCACCAGTTTGACTCCTTTGTAGCTTTGAAAATGTTTCTATATTGTTTCACTTCATTTTAAGACTTATTGTGCAAGTATATTATTATCCAATATGAATAGAGATCATTTAGATGAGCATAATTACTTTTTGCATATTTCTAATCTTCCGGAACAAAATATTGAGGATGTAGATGAAGACGGTAAGTACTTCCTTACACATCAATTTGTATCATATTTTTTTCTGAAATAAGAAATTAAAATAGAAATTAATGCATTCAGTTAAATTATAAAGCGCATATAAGGTATTACATTGGAATTATCTAATTACATATTAATTTTCACTATATTTCTACAGTTCAAGAACATGCTATGACATAAATAATCATTCCTGGTGTTAGACTATATTTTTCAAAT